GCCTTGGCCTTCGCATCGTCGAACTGCCTCCGCTCGTCTCAACTTAGCCTGGCCTCCACCACCGTGGGTCAGGTAGGCCGTGTCCGCGCCCTCGCACAGGAGCAGTATCTCGTCGCCTTCACCACTGCTCGCTGCGATCTCCGCTGTCGCCGCGTCGGTCTGCTTTGGTATCTTCGGTAGCGGCCGTAATCCGCCCAGTCGTCTCGCCGCGTTGATGGCGCCCAGCAACTCGCCGCCGACATCGGCCGTGTGCACCATCCGCCATTCGTTTCCCCACCGCGGTCCAGTTCGTCGTCTGCCCCATCTCGATGTTGCTCTGGACCTGACCCAGCTGGCCCCGTCTCGCGCTCCACTTTCGGGCGTCCCACGTCCTGCGACGCGTCAGCCGAAACGTCCAGGCGCGGGGGCTCGGGCGCCGTGGGCGCCTGAATCTCGGCCGCCTCGGGCACCCCTCGGTCGCTGGCGTCGCTCTGCTCGCCCTCGCGGAGCTCGTCCTGCCGGTCGGCCTCGGTCGCCTCCACCTGGCCGTCAGCGTCGGCGCCCCTCATATCCATCTCCATGGGGAAGCGCTCGTCCACGCAATCCTCTGGCTGACCGATAACTTCACCCGCGCGGTCCGCGAACGTCGTTGACCCGCTGATGTTCTTCAGCTTCTCCTAGCGCTCGCTCGGCCGTTGACAGTTGTGACAGTGGCAGTCCGCGACCTTCATGCGATTATTCTCTTTGCCGTCGCTCCTCCGGCAGTTCGGCTCGCAACAGCTCGCGCGTCGTCCGCGCGGGCGCGCTGCCACGCGCACGCCGCAGCACTGACTGTTCAATGTGATGGGGAACGTCTGTGCACTCGACCTGCGGGATCATCGCCGGCCCCTTCCAGTAGCTCTTGATGAGGTCGCTCTCGCCTTTGCCGCGCCTCCAGAAGCGCGCCCACTCGCCGATCTGGGGCTCTCTCTCTCTCTCTCTCTCTCTCTCTCTCGAGAGAGAGAGAGAGAGAGAGAGAGAGAGAGAGAGGGGCCGGCACCTTGTCGCCAGCGCCCCCCGAACTGCTCTCGCCACGTTCGCCGCCAGAAAAGCCTTGCCCGCGCCCCGCCCGCGCGCCAGGTTGCGGTGGAACTCCTCGTCGTGGTCGCCGAGGTCGCCCGCGGTTGTCGGCTCGCCCGCCAGTCTGCCCAGGTCCTTCGGCTGTCTTCCTGGCGCCTGCTGGCTGCGATGGCGCGAAACCCTTCGCGCTGCGCAGCTGGCGACGCGCGTCGCTGGTCATGCGCGCCGCAAGTTTCATGCGATCCCCGGGATGATCTTCGCGACGTCGTGCTATCTGCCCCCGTCGCACCTGATGATTCCGCTCAAGTGCGCTAAGTCGATGATGAGCGCCCCTTGGAATCAGCTGCAGCTTGATCTGCCGACCGTCGCGCCACTCCATAAACTCGCCGGTCACGCGCGCCACTCTGGTCAGCTCGAATCTTGGCCGGCCCCCCGGCCCAGTTGATCCAGTGCTTCTCGGGCGCATTGATCTCGACGCGCGCCGTCTCGCCCTCAACCGCCGCGCCGACCTCGAACCGCGAGCCCTCGTCCATGATGGCGAACATCAGATTGCGCTTGTCTTCCACGCCGCATGGAACGCGTCGACATCCACGGCGCCGTTGAATCCTCGATCCCGCGGGGCGCGGGCGACTCGCACCGACGTCGGCCTCTGCCGCTTGAGGCGTGTCTCGCATGTGTATATCCTCGCACAGCTGATCAGTCGGCCGCCCGCGTCCATCTCCTTCAATGCTGCTGCCGGCGCCTCGCCCTAGGGGTGGCCCATCTGGACATGTAGCTTCTCTGCCCACTTGACCTCCTCGATGGTGAACTTCTCCAGCGGCGCCCTCCACGCCATCTTGCACTCAGTCTTGTCGAGGTCTTCCTGGGTCATCTCTTCCACCGCCTAGCTGGCCTCGTTCTGCGGATCGCCCACGACGCAGATCGCCGCCTGGAACGCCATCTTCCCCGGGCAGTTCTCCACGTCACGCACATTTTGCATCCACCCTCGAGACTCACGCGCTTCTCCTTGCAGCTGCATGTCTTCACGCCATGAGTCCGCATGCGCACTGGTCCACGAGCGCGTTGTAGCCCGCCATGCCGTGCTGCGCCTCGGTCTCCCACGACGTCGCGTATCGAGGTTGCCCTAGATGCGCGCGCCTCTCCACCTGCTGCTGCGCCCCGTAGATCTCCCGGCTGAACCTCGGGAATTCGCGCTGCTGCTTGGCACGCTCTCTTCGCCGCTGCTATTGGCGTTCGTTGTTCTTGTTCGCTTCCGCCAGTGCGCCGATCGTGGGCCACGCAGCGCGCGGCGGTGTTATCTACGCTTCTTCGGGCCTCTTCGTCACGAGCTCCCGCGCGAATGCCTTGCGATGCGAGCCGTTCGCGACGTCCCAGCCTGTCTCCAACGTAAAACTTCTCCGTCTTGAAGTCGCCGCATGTCTCCGCGCAGTGCGCGATGCGCCCTTCTGCCGCGAAGATCTTCCAGAACCGCCTCTTCGCCTTCGGCTTGCTGTCCAACGCGCGGTTGGTCTCTGCGAACCAATTCTCGAGCAGGCGCGCCTCGAATTTCGCGGTCTCCGCGTTCTCGCTCTCGGCGTCGCCGTAGCTGCTGGCCACGAAGAAGTCAGTTTCCTTTTCGCTTTCCACCTTGTGGTCGCCGTCGGCGTCCGCGCCCGTTGAGCTCGAGTCCTCATTTGCCGCTAGCACATCGGACGGGAAGCTAAGCGGATCGATGATCACACGGCCTTTCCCCATTCGTCTCCATGTCGCTCCACTCCGGCGGCTGCTCGCCAAGATGCATCACTTTCTTGTTGCGGTAGTCGATCACCATGCCCCACTCCTCGAGACAGGGCCATGCCACCAGCACAGACACTCAGCTTGGAACGAGGCAGGCCGTCATCTGCTTCTTCGCGTTCTCCGCCCAGATAGGGGGCGCTACCTGCTGCTTCGCCGTCGCAGTCTCGTCGTTGCCAAACTTAAACGTCTCGTGGCACCTTGCCGTCTGGATCTCGCTGGATAGGCCCATCTCCTGCAACTTCTCGCGCCATGCTGGCCACTCCTCGAGACCCATCGCTGGTTTCGTCGCTCCACTGTCGCCGACACCTTTGCCCGTAGCCACCTCCTCGGTGCAGCATCTTCGCCGCTTCGGGTCCATCGGCTGCTGCGCCATCTCGTCGTCGCTTGAATCGTGGTCTGTGCTGCTGAAACGCACCTGCCATTGTCATCTTAGGCGAGCCGTCGGGACGCCGTCCACCCTTGGCTCCACCTCTGCCTCCATATGGTGCTCTGCCGCCGTATCTGCCTCTTGTTTTGCCTTTACTTGAGCTTCCACGTGACCTGCCATATCCCGAGCCTGCTCGTCCTCGCCCTGTGGGTGGCCGCCTATGGCGGGCCCGCGGTGGCGGTAATCCTCGCCGGTCATCCATCAACGCCACCACCGGGTATAATCCTCTCGCTGTCGCCAGCTCGCTCATCTTCGCCCGGGCCTCCGTGTAGTTCGCGAAAGACTCCTCCGTCGCTTCGCACGCGTCCTGAAACTACTCAGAGAGATCGGCTCCTCGTCTTCGTCATACCACGCGTCGTCTTTGTACTGCAGCTCGTCCGTGTACACATCCTCGTCCCAATGGGCATCGTCGTCCTATTTTTCGGCCCAGTATGTGTCACCAACTTCGTAACTTTTGCCCCGGTACGTGTTTGTCACGCGCTCGATGTCCTTTTTGTGTGCTGTGCTGTCGCCGCCGAACATCGTCTTGAGTGACTCCGTCACCACCTGCGCCGTGAGTTTGTTATTGTACAGCGCGTTCAGGTTTCGGAATCAGCCATCGTGGAATCGCCGACCTCGTCATCATGCGCCAACCCGCCAACAAGTCCAGTAGGTCCAACCCTGCTTCTCGTAACTTGGACAACTCCTGGCCGTATCGATCACATGCGCGTTCAAAATTTCCTTCGGCAGCCTCGAGAACTCTCCAGAGAACGCGTCGCTTCCTGGCAACTCCACTTCCTGCGCGTATGTAAACATAACGCCCAGCTTGCCGCTTGCCGAAAATATCATCGACATTTCGCTCGTGTCCATCTTCTCGAAGCTGATACTCTGAAAAAACGTCCCAGGCATCGCTTTGCAGCGCCTGCAGCATGAGGTATGCTCCTTCACTCACCACCGTATCACCTCGGCGCTGACACAATCGGTGGCGCACCTTCATTCTCCTTCTGAAATTGCGGTACGTGTCGTGCAGTAGGTCCGTTGCGTCCGGGCAGCACTTAACCAATCCTGCGTCCACCTGCGGTTGTCTGTCGCCTCTGCCTCGACTTTGGTCTCGGCCTCCATCACGTAGGTCACTGTCCGCGTCGCCGTCACCCAGCCGAACATTACTTATTGGTTGATCCGCTGTGCCGTCACAAGCATCATCTGCTGGTTGCTGTTTGCCCTTGTCCTTAGGTCGTGGGCCACCCCCCGAGCCGGAAGAGCTCATCTTCGTCTCGGTGAGTGCGATCACCCACGAGCGAGGTATCCGATTCCTTTCGCCGCGGATGTGGAGCCACAGGCTCCGCTACCAATGTCGGTAACACTCCTCTGGAACCGCCGAAGTCCTGTCACACGAAGTAGGGAACCAAACTGTCTATAACAAAACATAGAGAGGGAATCGAACAATTTCGCTCGTAGTTTTGATTGACTCAGGGGCCCGTCGGTATTTGATCAATAACGGCGTCGGTGCGAACTCACGTGTGCGACAGCACACGTACATTAAAACACCACAAATCATATGCAGCACTGCTTTACTGCAACACATAATCCGGATACGTGAAGGTACATTGGCACGGGCCCTGTGCCATTGACAAAGAGGAGGAGGAGGAGGAGGAGGAGGAGGAGGAGGAGGAGGAGGAGGAGGAGGAGAGGAGGGGGAAGAGGAGGAGGAGGATGAGGGGGAAAGGGAAGAGGAGGAAGAGGACAAGGAGGCGAAGGCGGCGAAAACCACGCGCCGATCCTGCTTCTCCGCACGCGACGTGGCGTTCCCGAGCACCTGCCGCGCGCACGCGCACGCGCCGTCACGGCCACGTCGGCTTTCTCGGAACAGGGCGAGGAAACCTGTTTTATGCCCCTTTCCTCCTCCTCGTCGTCCCTTTCGTCCTCCTCCTCCTCGTCGTCCTCCACGTCGACGTCTTCCTCCTCGTCGTCCTCCTCGTCCTCCTCGTCCTCCTCGTCCTCTTCCTCCTCCTCCTCGTCCTCTTCCTCCTCCTCCTCGTCCTCCTCCTCCTCCTCCTCCTCCTCTCCTCCTCCTCCTCCTCCCCTCCCCTCCTCCTCCCCTCCTCTTCCTCCTCTTCTTCTTCTTCTTCCTCCTCCTCCTTGTCATCCTCCTCACCTCCTCCTCCTCCTCCTCCTCCTCCTCTTCCTCCTCCTCCTCTTCCTTTTTCTCCTCCTCCTCCTACCATACTGTTGGGTCCAAGTCATCCTGCCTCCTGCCATTCGTCACAATAGGATTGCCATCGTACTGTCGAGCGTTCCGACGTGGCGTTCCTCTAGCACAAGTACCATCAGCCCAGTTAGGCCCGCTCCTGATGCAAACGCCTGGCACATATCCTTCTTTATTTTGTCGGTGATATCTGAAGACCAGAAGCAACTACATTGTCTGCAAAGCTATCTGCATGGCCTCGCACCTCCCCCTGATCTCTCCCGCATAGCCTTGATCTTCTGGTGGGTATGGGCCCCGTGCTCGCATCTCCCTCATCGGCGCGCCCTTGAACTTGCTTCCCCGTTGCAGCTGTCGAGTGACCCCGTCTCGCCCTGGGCCTCGAAGGGAAACCGGATGGTTGGTTTCGGTTGGGTTCAGGCTCCATCCTCTCGTAGACAGCTTGCGCTCCAATCGCTCCAGGATAGCGTTGATCTGCTCCGCTATCCTTTTCGCCTGGGACAGTGGCCCCCCACCCCTCCCAGTTGATGGTCCCCGACGAACCGAGATGTCCTCAATTTCGCCAGAAGCTGACTGGCGCTCTGAGATTTCCCCGCAAACTCCCGCCACCTGGGCGGGTGGGCCCGACGAAACCACCGCGTGGATCTTGGTGATGGCGCCCATGAATGCGTGGAGCGAGAGATCGCGCACCTGGTCTGTAACAGGGCCCATCGCATCATGCACTGTCTGCATCTCGCCCCCCCCCCCTCTCCACCAGGCACCATTGTCCCACGTGCAGGTGGCGAGTGTCATGTCATTAGATTGCCGCGGGCGCAGGGTGAGTCCCATCCGCGCTCCCGGTGCAGTCAGCGCGCGTAACCGGTCGTCGGCGCATTGCACGCTCATCGACGTGTAGTTGATCGCCTCGATGGCACATGGTAAGTCCTCCTCCTTCGATGTCGCGAATGCCGATGCCAGCAGGGGGTTGCGCTTCGTGCTCGCGAGGGCGTTGGTGCAGTCGTACTTGATGGCGATGGCGCTTGCCCTTGCTTCTCTCGCTCTCCATTGCGCGGCTTCGACGCAGGCAATAGCGTTCTCCCTTGACTTGTGTCTTAGGCCTTCTTGTGCCCAGCATGGGCGTTTTGGAGCTTTTCCTCTGCAATGTATCCCCTTTGTGAAAAGCCATTCCCATTGAGCAATATGAACGCGTAGCTCTTCCCATCCAATCCCCTGCTTGTCATTGCCTTACTGCGCAGAGAACGAAACCCCTCTTGACATGAACGGGAAGCGCGTGAAATCGAAGAGCTCGGCAAGAACGTGCACCAACATTAAAGTCACATGTCACGTAGGCGCTCTTCCCAAACGTTCACAGGGGGTACCAGGTGGAGTGCACTACCCGCGCAAGTTCAGACGCGGCGCTCACCCCGAACGTCCACAAAGGGTACCAGATGGAGTTCACTACCCGCGCAAGTTCAGACGTGCCGCTCACCCACAACGTCCCCAAAGGGACCAGATAGAGTGCACTACCCGCGCAAGTTCAGGCGTGGCGCTCACCCCGAACGTCCACAAAATGTACCAGATGGAGTTCACGACCCGCGCGCGTTCAGACGTGCCGCTCACCCCGCACGTCCACCAAAGGCACCAGGTGGAGTTCACTACCCGCGCGAGTTCAGAATTGGCGCTGACACCCACGGCGAGATCTTGATCATCATCACCGTCGTCATCATCATCATCATCATCGTCATCATCATCATCGTCATCATCACCAACACCACCATCATCATCATCGTCGTCATCATCATCAGCATCATCATCAGAATCAGCATCATCAGCATCATCATTACCGTCATCAACCTCATCGCTATCATCAGGGAGGGCTGAACTCGCGCGGGGAGTGAACTCCACCTGCTGTGGGCGGGTATTGTTTGGGGATGTCTCGAGCGAAACGCTTACTTTTGAATAAAAGTATTGAACAACCAATGGCTTTTAAATGATGTTGCCTTTGGGGCCATCTTGGAGGTCCTCCAAGAGCAGCCCCAAAAGATGCCGTACAACAGCTACTTCAAAATCTCATGCTTTGGACGCTGTCCCAAGCGAAATCTACAGTATCGAAGATCCGAAGGTTTTGCCAACGATTTCAACATCTCCATTGTCTGAGGGTGTCCCAGGCGAAACGCTCATTTTTGGCATAAGGGCTCTGAACGCAGCTTTTTCGACATCCCACTTTTTCGATGATGTCTCAGGCGAGAGCCCGATTTTCGAAGAGCCGAAGATTTCGCCACCGATTTCAACATCCTGGTTGTTCGAGGATGTCTCGAGCGAAATCGTCATTTCTAACATAAAACGTCTTGAGCGATAGCCTCCAATATCTCCATTGTGTGAGGATGTCTTAAGCGAAATGGCCATTCTGGGGAACCTGGCCGGACAAGAACGGGAAGCGTCGCTTTGTCCACCAAGCATGTAAAATGGAATTTGCCGTGCACCTGTGTGTTCTGCCGTGCTTCTGCATCGTTAAAGTTAAAGACGGAGCCTTCAAGGCAAGTGGTGGCCAGAAAAACACGGACAGGGCCAGACGGGACCCGCCTTCCCGAGAGAAGCCGAGTCCCAAGCGAGCACCGAGGGCGACGGAAGCCTACTCACCACGGGGAGCAGCTGGCGCGAGCCTCACCGATGCACATCTTTCAGTCGCTCACGGTCGGATCGCCACGGCGCGCCAGACGGCGGCGCACCCTGCGGTCCTCCAGGGCGTCGACTGCTGCATTGGCCGCGGCGGCGAGCTCCTCCTCGGTGATCCCGAAGGCTCCGAGGAGCCCAGCTCTCGCCGCGGCTGGGCGCCGCAGGGGCTGGCTGGCGACGGCCGCTGCGACGGGTGCAGCCGCGGGGGCCTCGCCTAGGCCCTCCGCCACCTCAGGCTCTGCGGCTGCCGCTGGGGCGCTGCCCGCACTGCTCGCAGCGGCCGAGGAGTCGACAGCTGGCTCCGCTGCGATGCCAAGCCACTCCGGGTACCGCTCCTGCGCATGCTCAGGCACTGGCCCCTGCGAACGCAGTGCAGGGATGCCCTCTCCCTTCACTCGCTGCTTGTCCGCTCGTGGCCTGCCTCCAGGATGGAGCCCTCGCACCCACAGGCTGCGCTGGTTCCTGCCCGCCTTGCCCGTCTTACCACCTGGGCACCGCTCATTCAGGCGAGGCTTGCCTCCTGCGCGGCTGCCCAGCACCTTGCAGGCCCCGCGCCTGGTGCATGCCACGACCTCCTGGGCGTCCTCGTCTGCGTCCGCGCAGGCGTAGCAGAACGTGTGCCCCAGGATGCTGACGACGACCGCAGCGGCCGAGATGCTGATCGCGCTGCCACCCGTCGAGCTGCTGCTCTGCGGGCGTGGCCGCGCGGCGGGTGCGCCGACGCCGAGGGCCGCCCCAGCCGACGGAGGCACCTCGGCCGTAGCTGTCTCCGCCTTGCGTCGCTCGCTATCCTTGCCCGAGCCATCGAGGCACAGCTTGCCGTTGAGCCTGCCGTCCGCTGGCTTGCGAATCCTGCATATACGCCTCGTCCAGCGTATGTGGGAGGTGTGGCCACTACGCACTTGCTGCCCCCTCACGCCCAGCTCGATGCCTGGCCGTCCGTGCAGCCGCCCGATAGCGCACACGAAAGACTGCCGATGCAGGAGGGGGCCGCTGCTGAGCTTCCGCCTCTCAGGGCGGTTGGGTGCCTGCCAGGCAACATACCCATCCTTTAATGCACGGCGCCCGGGGCCCGAGGAGCGTGGACTCGAGCTCGCCATCGGGGTCCGCGACCTTGCACCGCTCCGACTCGAGGTACCAGCCGAACTGCACCAGGGGCTGCACCATTGCAACGGCCGGCGAGGCACAGCGCCTCCCTGAGGCGCCGCAGGCGCGCCTGGTTGCTGCCGCCCCCCCCCCCCCGCGCACACCCTGCGCGGCTGCTCGCCTGGCTGCAGCAAGTCCGCCATCGCTGCCGTTGCCTCGAGATGCTCAAATACTCCAGCTTGGCCAACGAGGTCGCTCCACTCGCTAGTGCCGAACTCGAGGGCCTCGAAATCGTCCTCCTCACAGGCTGCAGTGGTGGCCGCCTCCATATCGCCCAGACAAACCCCACCTGCCAAAAATACCGAGGCCCGCGCGAGGGCTGCCAGTGCCGCTTCCTGCCAGCTGCGAGCCCCTGCAGCGCTACCTCGAGGGCCAGGCGCACGGCGCGGGCGGGGGCCGAGTCTCCGTGGCGGCACTCGCGCTTGTTCACCGCGCTGAGGGGCGCGCGGACCGCCCTGGGCCCCTCAGCCTGCCCCAGGAACTCGCGCAGGTCGCTGTCGTTGACGCCGTGGATCCCCACCAAGGTGCACTCGACTACCTGGATCCACTGGCGAGCCGCCTCCTTGGGGGCGCTCGGGTGGGGGCCCGCCTCCCCTGACCAACTGCAGGGCTCCACCTGCCAGCGAGTGCGCTCCACGCGGCTGGGCACCTGAACAGCTCCTTCTTCGCGGGGTCGGCGAGCTGCTGCTTCGTCGCCAGGGAAACTGACTGGGCGGACCAGCACCTGCGCTAGGGCATCTGGTCCCGCACCCTGAAGCTTCAGCCCTGCAGGCTGGCGGGGGTCAGGCCCAGAGCCGTCCAGCGCTGTGGCC